GAGTTCATGAAAACAAAGGAGTTGTCAGTGCCCTGGTACTCTGGCATACTTTAAGCTCTTTGCAAAGAAAAGACCATTTGAAGTTCCTACATTAAATTTTACTTTTACTCTCTTAAACCTTCTGTTCTATCTGTAGTGTTTTTTCACTCTGAGGCTGCACTGATCGAGCAGAGGCATAGACAGGGGGGCCCCTTCTGATGGCCTGAGGAAGGGCAGTCACCGCCGAGAGGTGCCCAAGTGGGTCTAGGTGCCGGCAGTCTTTCCTGATGGTGGCTAAGAAAGCTTGTTTAGAGAAGCCTAGGTTTACCAAAATCAGACCTAAGGAAAACTTAGAGAGGCTTCTAAGCAAGAACAATTTGAAAGTGATTAACGCTTTGGAAACTAGGCCACTGGCAAGGTGAAGGCTTGGGCATTGTTAGGATGAGAGAAGAAAGGGCGCAGCAGCCATGCTTTGGGGAACACTCAGCCTTCCTGTAATCGTGAGGGTGGCTTTTCCTGCCCTGACTTAGTAGATTGGATTTCTCTCTTTCGTATGCCCTTGTGATTTCCTCTACAAACTGGGCATCTAGTTGAGAGTGACCTTGCCAGATAGGGAAATACTGGAATTCTGGTCCGTGGGAGCAAGAAACTGTATCAGTCTCCAGATGTGTAAAAGAGATGAAGTGGATGCTTCCATGGTTTTGTCTTAGAATAGAATAAGCATTATGTGATGTACCCTTTGGCCAGTAACTCTATTTGCAGGAATCTGTCCTAAGGATATAATCAGAAATCATGGGCAGAGATTTTACATACAAATTGTTTATTGTAGGATTCTTTTAAAAGCCGAAGGCAGAAAGGAAAGAAGGAAGGAGGGGAGGAAAGGAGGGAGAAAGGGAAAGAGGAAAAGGAAATATTAGAAATGGCCAGCAGTGGGAGTTTGGTTAAATAAATTATGGCATCTCCCTGTGATGGAAGGTTACATAACTTTTATAAGTTAAGTTTCAAAGGTTGTCTAAACATTTGGGAAAATGCTGATGACATAACATTAAGTATCAAAGCAGTATAACCAAAAAGTATAATATGAAAACACACATACATAACTTAAAGAAAGATTAAATGGAAGTTCACAGTTGTCTTCTGAGTTGTGGAAAAATTTAGACTTTTTACTGGATGAATTTCTGGATTTTCTACAGTGAGCACATATAACTTAAAAGCATACTAAGACATATTAAGAAAGAGAAAAGGCAAAACACACACTTTAGAAAGTACACACATAAAGAAGTGGCCAGACACCATGGTATGTGTCTGTAGTCCCAGCTACTCAGGAGGCAGAGGCAGGAGGATCACTTGAACCCAAGGGTTTGAGGCTGCAGTGAGCTATGATTGCACCACTGCACTTCAGCCTCGGCAACAGAGTGAGACCCTGTCTATAATGAAAAAAAAAGTGAGTCGTTCATCACTTCTGCCTGCTTCAGCTTCCCCACACTGTGAACCACTATTAACAATTTATTGAATTCTTTTATAAACTTTAGATCTATTTCAATTATATGACTGTCATAATCAGAAAAATATGCTATTCCTTGTAGGTGAAAAAGTGGCTTCAAGTTTTGAGTGTTAAGGTAGAAGGAATAAAAGACCTTTCTCATTTTCATATTATCCTGAGTTTATACTGTACTTTCTCCTAAGTGCTCTGAGACAGTAGATTTGGCTGACAATGGGAAGTGAGGAATCGACTTCTCTTACATTTTCTGAAAAACTAAATACATAATTTTTTTCTGGATTAAATGAGGTATGGGTATATGAGAAAGCAGAGAGATGAAATGAAGTATCCACTCTTCTGGCTATGCAAAAAGATAGCTTTTCCTCTAACACAGTGATGCATGCTGATAAAATTTCTCAGTGTTGACACAGTACATACAGGACCATATTTTCATAACCAAAAATCAAGTCACTCGATCTCACAAGTAGAAGTATATTTGTGGTGAAAGTGACTGACTCTTTGAATTATGGACTGACTCAGAAAATTCAGGACATTTGTATACCTTAAAAAATGTATATATACACATATACATATATAAGTATAGAGAATTCCTTTATAGACTTTATCAGATAAGTATACATTTTGAGATTATATGTGTTCACACAAATACACACACACACACTTTTTTCATATATAAATTTGAAAGGGGGTTATTTACTATCCCCAAAGAAAATTCTAAAGCAGAAATGCAAAGTGCTGCTGCAGCCACATGCCACCGGTCCCTCCTCTCAGCCAGCAGCCACATGTCTGCTGTTCCAGCCCCTGAGCCCTTTCCACCATCTGGTCCATGGGAGACTGTTGTGGGTTACCTCAAGACCTGGCAGCAGCTGGCAGCAGAAGGTGACCGCACATCTTTGACAGCATCGAGGTGTGTTCTAATCACTGGGAACATATGCATGATTGGGAAGTGTATTTTTGGTGTGCAGTCTACATCTAGTTTAAATGCTAATTATGAGAATAGCCTTAGCAAGGTTCTTACGCCTGATTTGAGTTCAGACAAAGGACTATGGACCCTGCATTTTTCTTAACATGCAAGTTCACTTTTCTTCTCTAGGGATATTTCAGAAGGGAGGGAAAGCTGGCAGGAAAATTGCTGTGTAAGTAGGCTTAAACACCATCACAAAAGGAACGGTAATGACTTTTAGGCTCATGGGAGCCTTAAGAGGAGCGGGAGGGAATAAAGGGACTGATGGTCATAAAGTGACCGAGTCTGGAGAAATCTGGAGTTGTAGACTGGGCTCATTGAGCCTGCTGCAGATGAGGGACTGAAAAGCAAAAGAAACAAGAACCCCACCTCCCGAAGTAGTCAGAAGCTGTCTGTCCTCAAGAATCCCACCTCCCGAAGTAGTCAGAAGCTGTCTGTCCCTAGGTCAGCTTTGAAAATTGTTGCAAACTTGCCTGATGCATTGTTTCATTCTGAAAACATTTGCACCAGACACTGCTGAGGCTGTTAGTATTCAGTCCGAGATGATACATAGATCATTTAGAACCCAGTATAATACAGGATACAGGTCATGCGCCAGTAATTTTGTTGAATGAATGAAAATTTACTCTTTTTTTTTTTTTTAAGACTGAGTCTCACTCTGTCGCCCAGGCCAGAGTGCAATGGCGTGATCTCGGCTCATTGCAACCTCCATCTCCTGGGTTCAAGCAATTATCCTACCTCAGCTTCCCAAGTCACTGGGATTATAGGCACCTGCCGCCACACCCTGCTAAGTTTTGCATTTTTAGTAGAGATGGGGTTTCGCCTTGTTGGCCAAGGTGGTCTTGAACTCTTGACCTCAGGTCATCCGCCTGCCTCGGCCTCCCAAAGTGCTGGGATTATAGGCATGAGCCACCGCGCCTGGCCTGATTTACTCTTACCTAATGTTGGTTGATGGTCATTGGTTAATGGTTGTTAGTCAACGTCTGTATGACAGAATTGGTGAGGGTACTTGGAGTTGGCTCAAAATATAGTTTTTTACTTAGTTGCCCAACCCCTCAGGATTTCAAAGGCTGTGTATTATTTTACTAACCCACAGTTCCCTCCCATTTTCTGCTTTTTATGTTGAATTGTAAATACTGCCAGTCAAACCCATCATAGCTCTTACTGCTTTGTATTCCAAGACCCTGCATTCGGCCCTTTCATGTTAAGTAAAATAACCACATTAAATTTAATAGATCAGATCAATTTTAGAAGGAACATGGTACAGAGTGAAGAAACCAGAGTCACCGTCAGAATGCCTAGTCTGAATTCTGACTCCTGCTCTGCCACTTACCACTTACATGTCCTTGAGCAAGTCACTTAATCCCTCAACCTTCCTGAGCCTTAATTTTCACATCTGTAAAATGAGTTGCTGTAGTAATGCTATAGTGATATTGCAGATTTATGAGACAGTAAATCTGCAGTTCCTAGCACAGTGCCTGGCCCAGTGTGAGTGCTCAGAAGATGCTAGTTTCACAAAGCCCATCTGGTGGCCTGAGTCGTAGCAGTGCAGTGTCTCTAAGTGCGGAAGAGAGTGGGGTGGAATCGTTCAGTGTGCATGCCTCTCAGACAGAGCCTTCATAGCAGCGTGGGACAAGCAAGGACTTTGTTACCAAGTGGCTTTGTGACTGTGGACAAGTCAGTGTTCATCTCCGACTTTAGTTCGTCCTCTAAAAAGTAGACTCTGAGTTTTCTTCCAGCACTGAAATTTTAGAAACATGAAGAACACCCACTGAATTGTCTCCCAATAGTCTGGTGTTCTTTGAGGGCACAGATTTTCAGCCTGTTTGTCTTTCTGTGTACAGTGCCCAGCACGTAAGGGCTCTCAGTACATATCTGTGGAAAGAATTAGAGCAGGACAGAAATTCGCCATATGTAGTCCTCGTTTTCAGCCTGCTTGTTCTAAGTTAGGCTTCCAGAGTAGTCAAAGTTGCCCTTGGTATTTTTCTATGCAACATTTTTTTTTTCGAGATGGTGTCTTATGCTGTCACCCAGGCTGGAGTGCAGTGGTGTAATCTCAGCTCACTGCAACCTCCGCTTCCCAGGTTCAAGTGATCTTTCTGCCTCAGCCTCCCGAGTAGGTGGAGTAGCTGGGATTACAGGTGCACACCACCAGGCCCAGCTAATTTTTGTATTTTTAGTAGAGACGGGGTTTCACTGTCTTGGCCAGACTGGTCTTGAACTCCTGACCTCAGGTGATCTGCCCGCCTTGGCCTCTCACAGGTGTGAGCTACTGTGCCCTGTACAATGTTTCTTTTAAGGGATAAGAACATGGCTCATAGTTGATTTGGCTGAGACTTGAAAAGCAAGGTCTCAGTCCCTTAGCTTCAATCCCTCAATCCCTCTGCCTCTCACACAGAGTGGGGGATGGCAATTAGATTAGATGAATAAGGGCTTCATATTTACCACCTCACCTTATGAGATAGGCATTGGATTGATTCCTTTCTTTAAAGACACAGTGACTCAGTGACAGGCTCATGATCATACAACAAAGCTGTAGCATAATTGAGATTAGACGCCAGGTATCTTCACCCCCATGCAAGTGTGCAAACGTCGTCCTCGGAGCCTTAGGATTCTTGGGCATGCTTGGGCCACTGTATTTAGATGGTAGGTGGGCTATGCTACGGGAGGCATCACAGTTCTGCTTATTTGTGATCGCATAGAACTGATAAGCAAATTTGTTTGAATGATAGCATGGCCAAAAGAAAGGTTTTTAAAACCACTAACCCAAAACATCTTCCTGATTTGTTAAAGGTCACAATTTTAAAGAATGAGCTCTACCCAGAGAGAAGGTTCATCTCATTTTTTTTTCTTTCTCCCTTTTTCTCACTGCAGGTTAACTGCAATGGCTTCACAATTGAAGATGAAGAACTTTCTCATTTGGGATCAGCGATATTTCCTGAGTAGGCTGAGTTTGACTTCTTTCCTTTTCTTTTTACTTACTTAACACTAATTTGATTTTTTTCTTTTTTTTTCATTTTTAAATAAGCCACCTAACTGCGTGTGGCAGACATGAAACTCCAAGTGAATTAAAACAGGTTTTTAATCTGCTAGGTTTCAAAATATTTCCCCTACACTTAAGGCTGCAAAGGTAGTAGTTAAGAGAACAGTTGCTTGTTAAGTCCTGCTAAGCAGAGAGCTGCTGTTAAAGAATATTTTATAGTGTGCATAGAAGGAACAGCCCATGCCCTGCTGAGAAATTAGCTTTCTGCCTATCTGTGGTTCTGGAAATCTTTGCATTTCTTATGCTCAAAGTGAAACATTAATTGCCAGCCAAGAATTGGCCACAGGCTTGAGTACAGAATATATGAGCTTCTTCTCCATCTGTCCCTTTTGATAAATACCAGTAAAGAAACAGCACAATTTGGAGGGAGAATATGCTGAAGTAGTGAGCTGGGAAAAATTTCGAAGAACTATAGGATTTTCTCTCGACTTGAAGAATACTTGAGTAATTCAGCAAAGGATAGCCAGTTGACAAATGGAGATCTTTATAGATCTGACTTTAATGGATTGCCAAGAATGATTTTGCCTTTGTCTGTGTAAGGTCTGTTGCCAAGTTAAATGAGGAAATGAGGCCGGGAGAGGTTCTATGGTCCGGGAAAGGGGCCAGAGAAGTCGCGCTCTACCTCTCTGGGCATGGGTTTTTATAGGGAGTGGAGGCAATTGCTTGGTTATTGGGGAAACAAAGCGAAGGCAACTTTATTGGTTATAGGGAAACAGGATGTGCACGGGGCGGGCTGTTGTTGGTTGGCGGGCGGGGCTTTGGGTAAGCGGGCTGGCCAGGGGCATATGGGGCAGACTGCTATTGGGCAGGGTTTGGCGGGGCTTCTTTAAATTTTGTGGCGGGGTCTTCCAACGGCGGGCGGGAGGCTGAGTGCATAGTTTGGTGTTGAGTGTATACTTGGGTGTATTATGCAGAGGTGGGTGTGGGGAAGCCACTTGGGGAGGCCAGATGCTGAGTAATGGCTTGGAATGATGACATAGTTATCAGGCGTGGAGAGGTATGGGTGTGTCCATTCAGCTCCCGGGGAGGCAACCGGCCTTACAGTCTGTCTCATGGAATGAGAATTTCCAAAATGCTTCAGTCCCTGAAATTAAACCCTGCTTCACAGATAGAGCCACGGAATTTGTGCATCTCCCCGCTCCAAATCAATACACCTTGTCGATGACTTCCATCTAGGGGGAGGTTGCTTAACATATACTACAGGGGCCTTTGGCTGTAGGTTGCCACATACGTGGGAAACCCTTAGCACTCATGCATTTGCCCTGAATGATGTGCCTGCCCTTAGCTATGTGCATCAGCCACAGGTGTAGGTCAGAAAGAGAAGAATCCATACAGGTCTGTGTCTCATGAGCAGCTATCACAGGCTTACTTGAACCAGACAGACCAAAAAGTTTATTCACCTCATATTACTGTCCTTGGGGCCAAAATGGTGTCATCTGCAGTTGCAATTCTAGTAGTGAGGAAAGAAGCATTTTTTTTTTTTTTAACTTTGGCCCCTGGGAAAGGCAGGAGAAAAAGAGGGCATTGGATTCACTGAAGAAGGCGCATACTGACACCTTTAGAACTGAAATGAACTATGAAATGTCTCTGTTCTCGATATCTTAAAGACCAAAAGATTAAGAGTGAGGTGCTCCCTCACACAGTGGTTCACACCTCTAATCTCAGCACTTTGGCAGGCCAAGGCGGGTAGATCACGAGGTCAGGAGTTCAAGACCAGCCTGACCAACATGGTGAAACCCCGTCTCTACTAAAAGTACAAAGATTAGCTGGGCATGGTGGCATGCTCCTGTAATCCCAGCTACTTAGGAGGCTGAGGCAGGAGAATCACTTGAACCCAGGAGGTGGAGGTTGCAGTGAGCCGAGCAGTGAGCGAAGATCACGCCACTGCATTCCAACCTGGGCTCTCCATCTCAAAAAAAAAAAAAAAAAAAAAAAAAAGGACTTTGAGGGATTTCCCACCTTGCGTGGCTACCAATAGAATTTACCCAGAATATGAATTGTTTCAGGGTCTTTGCCTTCATATATTTCCCCCACCTTCATTAAAAAGATACCAAGTCTGTCTTGAACTAATAGTTCTGCAAGGTGGTTTTAGAAATGTGCTTTTATTTTAAAACAACTACTCTTTCGATGCATTTGTTTATCCGATTTCCTAGAGCCAGATTCCTTGGGCATCGCCTTCCAGGAAGCCAGGTGGGCCTTGGTGTAGAGCAGAGGTGGTCCTCCCCAAGGTCAGGACCAGGAAGTTGCTACATGTTTGTCCCAGGCACCCGGCCAACCACACACTTTGTTTAGGCCTTTAGCAACCGGGAGGTGGGGGAGTGCACTTGGCCATGGCCAGCCTGGGGCAGCTCATCCTCATCAGGCTTCGAAACCCCTTTCCCTCTTTGTATTCTCGGAGCAAGCAGGAGAGGGGCTGTGGTCTCTGAAGGGTCAGGGAGGTGACATTGGCCACCAGAGCAATGACACACATGGCTGTGAGTGCCCATAGGAGCATGAGCCCCAGTTTCCGGGCAGTTTTAATTGGGGGAAAAAAATCCCTTTGGGCTGAAATCATATCGGCATTGTGATTTCAAAGGCAGCATTTTCAGAGATCAAGCACTTTTTCCCTGTAGTTTAGAAATTTCTGTTCTCAGAACTTTGACCTTGATATAATCAGAAAGCTCAAAGCACCTCGCATAGGCGAATCTCTCTCTCCTTCTCGCTGTCCCTGAAAAGCAGACAGTGAGCAGCAGGAGCAGTAATGTCCCAATTTTCCAGATGAGGAAATTGAGGTGCAGAGAAACTCAGACGGGCGTCTCCGGGTCTCTCGGGGGATCACACACCCTTCCCTCCTTAGGAAGCTGGCATTTCTCAACATCTGAAAAAAAAAACGTGAGAAATAATCCACTAATACAAAAAGGTGCTTGAAAATGGCAACGCATCTGTCTTTGACATTGTATAGTGCAGTAGCAGTTAGCTGTGGGTACTGGGTTCTGAGAGCCGCATTCTATCAGGACGGAATATTTGTGGCATTTGTTTTTGTTGTTGTGTGTTTTTTGGTTTTGGCTTAGATATTACATGAATTGTGGATTTCCATTTTTAATATGGTAAAAGTCTTAGATGGTAGCTAGGATTATCAATGCATGCAGAACAACTTCTTAGAATATGATAGCCAACTATTAGATTTTTTAACAATGTCTTGTAAAGATTCAGTTCCTTTGACTTAGCAAGTAAGTAGTCAAGGAGACTAAACAGCCTCCCTGTCTCATTTTAAAAACTGGGTTTTCTCTTCCGATTGACAGTGTTGCATTGATGAATCATAGCTGTTGCCCCAATGTCATTGTGACCTACAAAGGGACCCTGGCAGAAGTCAGAGCTGTACAGGAAATCAGCCCGGGAGAGGAGGTGAGTTCATGGCTATGGGTGGCTGCAGCAGGGGGCTGGAACCTGCTCTTTTAAAAGGCAATGTGGACAGATCTGTGCAGTGTTATTTGAAGTGTGAGCCGTGAATGCTTCCAGCAGTTCAGCTGAGTCCATCCTCAGGCTCCCCTGGAGTCGGTGATCAGATTTGTGACCTGTAGCTTAGATTCCCACACTTTGGGGCTTCTGTTTAGTGCTTACCTTTTCCATCAGTGGTTAAGAAAAACAAAAACATAATAAATTTGACTTAAATTCCTCACAAAGCTTTATATTTACAGAGAAAGAAGACATTTACTACCAAAATGACCACAGTGAAACTTGATTTTCTTTAGAGTCTCTCTATCCCTGCTGCCAAACAATGGAGTTTGAGCCTTATTAATTTTTGGTGAATTCTTGCTTGTTGCCCACCATCCCCCCAAGGTCCGAAGTGAAAGCAAGCAAGTGACGCAGCAATAGCTAAAGAAGTGGCCCTGCAAATGACACATCAGCATTTCGTGCTCTGTCAGTTCCACATGTGAACTTCAGGTCGCAGTTCACTTTTTAGGAACGTGATTCAAATGCCCAGGTATATGCAGTCATAGGAGAAATCGAGGCAGTCTGTGGCCAAGAGGCACACTGGCTTCCCTCCTCAGCTTTGGGATGTGGAAAGAACCAGCCAGCTGCCCCATCACCTGCTCCATGATTCCCTGTCCCCTTCCCATGTTTGATTCCTGACTACCTCATGGGACATCTCACCTGGGAAGGGCTGGCCTGGTGGATTGCTATAGTATGCTCTGTTCTTAAGTAAATCCCCAGCAAGACAGGAATTTTTGGGGACTTGTAATCACACACTTAGGTTAAATTTCAGTTTAGCAATTTGTAATGCTATTCTACGGTGCACATCTGGGTATTAGAAGTGTGAAGTGTGACTGTCAGTGTGCTGAGTGAGAAATGCTTTGCTTTCTCTGGAAGGCGCTCACTCATCCACAGTGGTACTGGGAGCTGAGGCCCAAGGCACAGGTTGGCCCTTCCACCCTCAGCTAAAACTATCGTGATGAGGGTGTGTCCCTTTTCGGCTGGGGTGTCTTGAGTTTCTGAATGTCTTGTGGAGACTGCCCTGAAGGCTTTCTTGAAACAGATCATTGCAGCCAGTCAGAATGTAATGACCTGGCTCCATCCCGCCTGTGGGCTGACTGCAGAGATGAGCGGGTTGTCACCTAGGCTGGCTCAGTCTGACCGTGAGCAGTGGTACTGGAGTGGCCTTTGTCGCCATCTTCTGGAACCTTCCGTGTGTTGCACTGTGTGTCGGTTATTTCAGAGATAATGGGACAGGCTCTTGCGGTGTGAGGCAGGGCAGGGCTGGCTGCGGTTTCCTTTTGCCATCATGTTCTCCCAGATCTGAAACACAGTGACTCCATTTTTGGGAAGTCAGTGCTTTGGGGGTTACTTACCCTTCAGAGGAGGAGAAACTCCATTCCCCAGGGTTTCAGGGTGACCTGCAACGTGTCCAGTACTGCCCTGTGGGCTGGGGAGAGCTTGGCTGCCCCTGTAGCACCCAGCCCCATGCGTGTCCTCCCCTGCCTGCCTGGCGGTGCCCGCGGTCACTGGCACACTGGCAGCTTTGTGAGATCCATCTGTTCAGTCAGACATTTGCCTGATTGTGTGGGATGGGCAGCCAGTGCTGTCCCAGTGAGTAGATAATGGACATCTAAATGCTGGTGTCCTCCATATGCTCCACGTCTTAGTTACAGACCCCGTTAGGAAAAGGCGAGGACAGTGGAGCCCCATGAACCGAAGGTAAGAACTTTCCAAGCTCCCAGTTCTGCAGGATAAGGAGCTGCCCGCCCCGCCAGGCCGCAGCATTCTGGTGACCTAGAAGTTGTGTTCCCCCTCCACTGGTCTCTGGGCCACCTAGGGCTGTGGGTCCCAGCCCGCCGAGCGGAGCCTCCCGCTCCGTTGCCAGCTGATGTGAGGAGAAGAGGAACTCAGCTGCATGTGTGTGCGCTCATGTCCTCCCCTGCACACACCCGGTGATGATGGCAACAAAGCATTCGAACCATCCCAGGTAGTGAAATGTGAGACTACATGAAGGCCAGGCAGAGGCAGCCAAGGCAGCAGGGATCCCTGCACCCTCCAGGTCCTTGTTTTAAGGGTTCCTTGATTCTACAGACTCTTTCCACTAATCTGCATCTTGGCTTCAGCTCCCAGTTCATCTGTGGACTAGTGAACACCTTCCGGAGAAAGCCAGCGTCCGGTGGCTGCTCAGTGTAGGAAGTCAGTGCCTTAAAGTAAAGAGCGGACTCCTCCGCTGCAGCCCGCCTGATCCTCTATCCCTGCATGGATGCCGCCACAGCTGAGTGCAAAGGCATGGGAATGAGTTTACCTGTAGCAGACTGAAGCTTTACCTTTTTGGACCCCATAGGTTTTTACCAGCTATATTGATCTCCTGTACCCAACAGAAGATAGGAATGACCGGCTAAGAGATTCTTATTTCTTTACCTGTGAGTGCCAGGAGTGTACCACCAAGGACAAGGTAAGGCCGTTCATGGGGCAAGAGCACTGATTGCACCCTGATCTTAGAACGTCTCTGTGGAAGAGCTTGTCTGACTTGGTAGGTCTCCTCTAGGATCTTTTTGACCCTTTAAACCCTCCTTACAAAGCCAGCCAGAGGGAATCCAGTTAGACCAGGTCTCCGTTCAGACCTGCTCCCAGTAGTTAAAGAAAACATTTCCATTATGCTGTACACCTAAGCAAAGGATCTGCCAAACTGCTCTTTCTTGAAACAACTGCTCATGGGAGGAAAGAGAAAAGCACATGAGTATCATCTTTAGGCTTTCCAGCCCGTCCACCAGAGTACGTGGAAGTTCCAAATTGTTGTTCTGTCAATGCCTGCCTTCCTTGGTCTAGTCTCTTGATTTGTAGATGTGTGGACATGTATATCTGCCCATAGCCAACACATTCTAGATAAGGAGTGTCTAGAAAATAATCTATTAGTTTTGTTTCTGTTAAAAGGTAATGGAATACTGAATTTCTTTAGATGCACTGCCTGATTTCCTCTCATTCTTTTGTAACCTTGGAATGGGCCAGTATCTACCTCTGTATGGGAACATGTATTATATGAGAGGTCTCCCCATCGGTGTGGTTTCCATGGGAGGTAACACCTTGCCCTTGTGGACATTTCTTTCAGGATAAGGCCAAGGTGGAAATCCGTAAGCTCAGTGATCCCCCAAAGGCGGAAGCCATCCGAGACATGGTCAGATACGCTCGCAACGTCATCGAAGAGTTCCGGAGGGCCAAGCACTACAAATATATCCTTTACAACTGCCTGATAGTTCATGATCCCTCACCAGCAAGACAGGGTGGGAAGCTGGGAAGCGGGAGCAATAGAAGGATGGGCCTCAGATTCTGAAAATGAAAGGAGGAATGTCTCCTGGTAAATGTGTATAGATGTTCTGACCACTCACGATGTGGTGTCCATCCTATCAGAGTGGTATGGCCGTATTTCCCCTTATTTGGCTAGTTTGGCTGGGCACTGCATCTGGTGGAGGACCGTGAAGGACAGACTTTTGATGGCCTTGTGCGCTGGGTATTTTACTTCGGGCAAGGGCCTCGCTTGTTTCAGCTCTCCTCACAGGCATACTCTGAGCAGAGACTTCCCTCATTCCCATGCAGCGGATGAGGAAACAGGCTGATTGATAGATATTAAGTTTACCCAAGGGGACACAGCTGATGGTCCTAGGTGGTTGACCTAGGATTTTGTCCCAGCTGTAACTATCAGAATCCATATTCTTAACGATGGTATTGTAGCATTTTCGTGGGAGTTGAAAAGGGATTAGATTTGTACCCTAAAGGGTAGAATTTAAAACCAGGGAGAGGAAATTAGAGAAAGGCATGTCGTTTCTCAGCATAAGAAAGAACTGTGCCATAGTGGGAGTCATCCTCAGGGTTCCAACTTGGGTGAGGACTTGAATTTGATTAGAATTGTGAGTCTAATCGACGCTGTTTACATCAAAACTAAGGGTCTGGACCCTGCGGCTAAAATTCTTTGTTGAGCAGTTCAGATCTTCAGGTTTTCTTCCTTTGTTTCTTCTAGAGAAATGTAATTCCTTTCACTTTTGCTTCGCTTTCTGTAAGTTACTCTTTCCTGGGGTGAGGGTGAGAGTGGAGGGGAGAAAGAACTTGAACCCTGGGGAAGTCTCCAGGCGGCATGGGCCCGGACGGCTGTTTCCTTGACTCCACAGCACCCCCTAGTGAGCTGCTGGAGATATGCGAGCTCAGCCAGGAGAAGATGAGCTCCGTGTTTGAGGACAGTAACGTGTACATGTTACACATGATGTACCAGGCCATGGGTGTCTGCTTGTACATGCAGGACTGGGAAGGAGCCCTGCAATACGGACAGAAAATCATTAAGCCCTACAGGTGATTTGGTCATTTAGAATGTATACAATAGTGTCATCTTCCTGCCCATTGCTGAGACTTGACTAGCACAGCTGCCTCTTCTCTGCACCCACATCTGGAGGTGCTGGTGCAGGGCGCTGCTCCCAAGTCAGGCCTCTTCTCGCCACCGTCCCGAGGAGACAGGTTGAGGTTCTGCAGTGGGTACTGGGGCAAGATCCTTCTCAGGTCCATCCAGGGCCGTATCCATAGCAGTCAACTCAGGCTAATTTTGAGAAGCCACCAGTTTGCTTCTTTTCCCACCCACCACTTCCAAGTTCAATGGCCAAGTTTAGTTGCTAAGCGGTAGTCTTAGAAATCCTGCTTTTCATCATTACTCGCGCCATCCCCTTCTTTTGCTTTTTCAAATTGCGGTCCCAGTTTGCAAATGGGGAAGCTCTGGCACCAGTGGGTTGACCGCGGTTATCTAATCTCCCCACCCCAGGTTTGAAAAAAAAAGCAAATTGCTTTTTAATTTGTAGTAATAGTGAATATTCGCCATGGAGAGATTTTCTGCCTGAGAGACTAAACCTAGAAGTGGGTGACAGGCGGAAGCTGTGGGCTTGTCGTCTAGCTCTGCGAGACACTTCAGGGCTGGATGGCCTCGCTGGCATCACTGAAGCTCTTTGTAAAGGCACTGATGTTAGCATTTACAGGGTACATCCAACACCAAGCGGGCTACATGATTCACGGTTGCTGGACTTAGACCCAGAAATTTGTGTTCTGGAAGCATCCTAGGTGTTTCTCAGGAGTTTGAGAGGCCCTCAGTCCCCTTCCAGTTCTGAGATTAGGGTCTCTGAAGGTTGTGTCTGGTTTGAATGTCCACTGCCCACTCCACCCTCTACTTACCCCACTGTGCCCTCATTAGCCAGCAGGGGGAGCCCAAAGGAAGCCAGCTCCTCAAATCTGCTCTTGAAAACACGTTGTTAAATTGGGGATAAACTCAATCTTTCCATTTCTCCTGGAGTTGGGGGAGGAGGTCCACTGGCCTCATGCACTGCTGTCTCTGTGAGATCTGTAGGGAGGGAGAGGCAGACAGACAGACAGCATCCCAGCCCTGGGGCTCTCCCAGCAGGGCCTTGCTGTGCTACACCCATCTTTACCTACACAAGCCCCTCCCGGAGGCCCAGCTCTGGTCTTCTGGGGGGCCATGGGTCCCAGAACTGCCTCCTGCCCAGGAATGCAGCTAGAACTTGTCTTTTTTAGGCCGACTTTTAGGGGAGACAGAGTGGAACAGCCTAACCATTAAATACACACCTCTTACACACATGTAAACAAACACACAGGCTCACCCACCAGCTGCCTCTGGGCCCTGTTATGAGGAAAATGGCTGTTTCCCAGGCAGACTCCATCAGTCAACCTTCAGATACAACCAAAAAACAACACCTGCTGTATCTAAAGCCCCTGCTGGACAATAGGGAAAGAAAATCCAGAAGACATAGGAAGTGTTCTGACTTCAGAGCACTTACAGTTTTGCTAAAGCAATCCATATCATAGTGTCACAAGGAGCTGGGGTATTAAGACACATCAGGGTGTGTATATGTGTGTGTGTCTTGTCTGTCTGAGTGCACTGTCCTAATGTGAGGTGATAGACTATCATAAAAACAGCTTTTAAGTAAATGTGCCTTCATAAATGGGGCACTTATTTAAAAGCTGTTTTCCCAGGGTCTTCCTTTGGCTCTATCTGAAAGAGAAAACTCTGGACTGGGATTGAAGGTTGTATTTACAGATGCTTTTGAATAGGGATTTCTCCTGCAGTTGTTACGTAGCTTTTCAGAAAACACAAACTGCAAATAATGAACAGTGTCTGCAATGATTGGGCAGGACTGCAGCATCCACACGCTCCACCCAGACCCTGGCGGGGCTTGGAGAGGTTCCTGGTGGGGAGAGGTTGGCCCTGAGCACAGCGGCCTCTGGCTAACTGCACCTAGCCTGTGGGGCGGCTCAGCAGCCTCTGACACGGTGGCCTGTTGCCTTCTCTTGTTGCAGTAAACACTATCCTTTGTACTCGCTCAACGTGGCCTCCATGTGGTTGAAGCTAGGGAGACTCTACATGGGCCTGGAACACAAAGCTGCCGGGGAGAAAGCCCTGAAGAAGGTATGTCTGTAACTCAGCCTTAGGATTCCCAGTGGCCGGATGGCCTCAGTGCACCTCCTTCATGCCTCACCAAGCTGAGGGGCTGGAGTGGAGGGTGAGCAGCTCTCACCCACCCTCTGGCCGCTGGAGCAGCTGGGGTGAGTCCCGCAGGTGAGCGTGGAGTGAGCAATAACTTCTGCTGTGTTTGTGCCCAGGCCTTCCTCGAAGGGAAGGGGTGCGCACATCAAGAGGACTGGCTGTGATCACAGGCCCAGCCTGTGCCTGGAGGAATTCTCCGTTTTCAGAAATTGCTAGGATTTTCAGAATGATGATCCTTAACTGTGGTGAAGTCAAGGAGGTGGGATATGGAGAGTTAGGGTTAGGGTGTTAGGATTGCACATTGGCTGTTTCTAAAATGCACTTAATCATCCTCTTAGTTCATCGAGAACCAGTTACATACGAAAACTGTTGCATGCTTTTTCTTTGAATTATCACAGAAATGAGAGGCTTTCCTAATGAAGAAAGTGAAGTTCAAGCAGGTTAAGTGAGTAATAGCCTAGGTTACATGGTGGGGATTTCATTCAAATGAGGGTCTTTCTAAGTTGTAAAGCTTCAGTTTCTCCCACTCAAGCTGTGAGGAAACTGGTAGGTGCCAGGCCCCGGGACAGCATTCGCCTTTGGTTTGATGGCTGCCTTGTGCTGCCTGGTGGCCAGGCCCTGGCCCTCACATCACAGGAGCTCAGAGTCAATTATCCTGAGTCTTGATTCCCATTGTTTGTGATGTGGAATTAACAGTCAATACAGTGTAATTTGGGGGATAGTCCATTTACTCCTGTAAAAGACTTTATAAAATGTTGGGGCTGTGGACAAGGCCTGCAAACCTAATCCTTCACATTCTCCAAAGCTTCCCAG